TTTGGAATAATCCACCAATTTTTTAAAATTAAACACTATCTAAAGATTTGCATCGAAGCGTTTTTTTTTGATAGTGATTTTAATCACTGTCAGATATCATTATACTTGATCCAACTATGCCATGTCACCACTGTGCCGCGACCCCCCTGTGCTGGGTTTTTTAAATTAAAATAATAAAATAAGTGTGGTTATGTTATTAGGTAATGCATGTTTTGTGCTATGTGATAATACTCTATACGTCAGTTACATGGACGTATAAATGTCCACAAGTATTTTTTGTAATTTGCATTGAATATTTTTTAGCACACTTGTCAAATTTTAATCAAATAAAATTGTTAATCAAAATTCTAGTACGTATTGAGTAAATAGCTTAAAAATTATAAAAATGTCTGCTATCAAACGAAGTTATAGCAATGATCATCTTAAAGATAATGAGCCTTTAGCTAAAAAGTCTCGTGATGTGGAACCACTCACTGCCGAACAACGAATCCTTGAATTAATTAAAGCATCTGGTAATAAAGGAGTATCTGATGACGACCTCATCAAAGCTTGTCCAGTATTGACTATTGAAGAACGTGTAGATAATGTTAACAAGCTTATAACATCTAACTCAATCACTCTCCATAAGGTAAAAGATACACTTAGATATAAATATAAAGGGTCATCATGTGCAACACCCGGTGATGCTAATGCAGAAGAGTTAGTGGTATTTAATTTGATACGTGACTCTGGACGAAAAGGAATATGGATACGTGATGTGCGTATTAAATCAAATCTAGGTCTACCACGTTTAAAAAAAATTTTGAAGTCTTTAGAAGCAAAGAAATCTATCAAAGCCGTCAAATCTGTAGCTGCTAGCCGTAAAATTGTGTATATGTTGTATGATCTTGAACCAGATAGTTCAATTACTGGTGGAGCTTGGTATTCAAATCAGGAATTTGAATCAGAATTTATTGAAATATTAACAAAACATAGTTACAAGTTTTTAGAAGCTAAAAAAGCCAAAGTTTTAAAAAACACTAGTGTAAAAAGTCCTTTAATTAAGTATAATACAACATATGCTACTGCTGATCGTGTTTTGGAATTCATTTCAAAAACTGGAATTAGTAAAGTAAGATTGTCAATTGAAGATATCACATCAATTCTTGATTTGTTGGTTTATGATGGTTTGGTTTCAAAGAGGTTGAATAGTGAAGGCATTGTAGAATACCGATCAACTAAGTCTCTTGTTAAAAGAAATGCAGTAAGTTTTATACCTTGTGGTAGTTGCCCAGTTATTAAACGATGTTCTGATGCTAATCAATTGAATTCCTTAAATTGTAAGCATATGAAAAATTGGACAACAATTTAAATTATTTATTTTATAATTGTTTTAATTTGTATATATATTTTTTAATTAAAATTTTACAACTGAAAAATATCAAATATACTCATTTTTATTTATTATTATGAACATAATATCTTAGCTGTTATGATTAGTAAAACCCTAATATAGATAACTTGTAATTATTATTTTTTTTGAGGAATATTTAGATACTAAAAATTACAATTGTAGAAATAATTGCATTATAGTATAGTGACAATAGGAAAAATTAATTTTAAGAGGTTTCTTAACCTTGATTTTTACAGGTTGGTTGTTTGATCGCCTTTAAAAATGATGACGATTCCAACTAATGAGCTAGAGCAGAAAATATTTACTTTTGATTTTCTATTTTTGATTCAATATTTTTAAGGTACCATTTCTAGAAAAAAATTGATCATTGTACAATTTTGGCTAACTCAAAGTAATAAACAGATCTTCCCTTATAGCCTGATGAGATTCAAAAGGAGTCCCTCATAGCTTCTCTCAAAAATTAATTATCATTAAATAATATTCAATGTCACAAAAAACAGGAAGCTTTTTATATTATATAATATTCAATTGTTTTTTTTAGTAAATAAGTTAAATTTGTTTATGAATATTAGTTAAAATTATTTTAAGAGATTATATTGACTAGCTTTTTTTTTTTAAATTAAATTTTCTTCATTTTAATATTTAATTAAAACAACTGGCAAGGATTTTTTTTTTTTTTTGAGTTGGTTAATAACTTTTAATGAATTAAATAAAAAAAACTTAAGAATAGGAAAGAGCATTAAGAGAAGCCTTTTTTTTAAATAAAATAAGGGATATGTAATATCTAATAATTGAGGAAACTATTGGAAAAAAATGAGTAGAACAAATTAATAATTAAAATCTTATATTTTATGACATATATATTCTTAACATCAACAATTTGCATATATCAGTTTATATACTTTAATAAAGTTTTATTTTTTAAAGTATTAGTGAATAGAAAAATACAATTAACAATGTTAACAAAATAAAAGAAACATTTTTTTATAATTAACTTTAATAAACTGTTACATTATGTTTCATTTTGAAAATCTAATACTAGTTTGGCTAAATTTCCTTTGGAACCAGAATTGCGATTTCTAGATCTTAAACAATCTCCATACAATGTAGCACTCACATGATCTACAATAGAATTTTCATATAATTCACATAGTTTTTGTTTATTTCTTAAACGTAATCCTGATTCCACAGCTCTAAACATATGACACTCGCTGTATAAAACAAACATAGCAAACACTGAAGGAGAAGTAATATTAACAGACATAAAAGATTGACTGGTGAATTCTGATACTAAACGGTGAATGTCACGATCAACACGGACTATTGGAACTATTGATTCAGCACGCTTACGGGCTAAAAGTGAATTCAAAATTTTACAATAAGCATATAAATACATATATTTTGAATATTTATTTACCAGTAACATAATCTTTGGCATAAAAAGATAAATGTTCATAATTTAATGGATCAAAATGGCCATACATTTTATTGATATCTAAGTTCATTAATAATCTTGGTTGGGTCATGATAGTAGGATCATACTCAGAAAATGGTATAGGACTAAAAATCTGCCATTCCATTATTGTATTCATTCTTACCTAGATATAAAAGCAATCAATAATTAAATCATCAATATTTGCCAGAAAATTACCAAAATTAAGTATACATAAAATTTGTTAATTAAATTCAACATATGAAATATTATCATATGATTTCAACAGTCTATATTTCTAATAAAATTTTAAAATATAAATATTGTGAAATATTAGTTGAAAAGAAGATTAATTACACTAACAAATTTAACCTAAGTTCAAAAAAATTGTAATGAATAAACAAAACATTGTAACAAAAGAGATTTACCTATAAGTCTTTTGAGAATTTTAATAGATAGTAGAAGCTCTTTAGAATAAAATAATATTACTAATACAAATTTATTTATTAAACTCACTCTGTTTAGGTAATCTTGTCTGATTTCCATTTTTGGCCGTGCTAACATCATAAGTGCATCACTCGGAAACTTTTTAATAGCTAAATCAATTACTGCAAAGTCTAATAATGCATCTTTGAGAACAACCATTTTTGTATTAGGTACTCTTACCGAAAGCCATGCCACTTTTGTACCATCTTTCTTATGAGCATTGCTTAACAAAGTGGCTTCATCTTTTAATATTTTAAAAACATCATCAGCTGTTCCCTTTCCAGGTGAATTAGAATCATATAACAAAACCTTTAAATAAATCAATTGATTGTTTGAAAAATATAATAATTAAAAAAAAAAAAGTTGAACTTACAAACATTAACATAGTTTTTTCTTTTTTATCCACACAAACTTGTTTATACTGTTTCAAAAACTGAAATGCATCATCTTTTTCATATGAATGTACTGGTAAAAGAATATGAATACGTGTGTTTTCTGTAACATATGGAACAGGTAACATTTCAACTTTACCTAGAGTTTTGCTAATTTCAACTCTGTAAAATAAATATAAATTTTATAATTATTAAGTTTTGCCCTTTTTTACAGCACAAAAAAAAAAATAGACAATGCACTATTTTTTTTAATTAGTAGTATATTTTTTCAATATAATAATACATTTTTTTCTAAATACCCTTTATATCTCTACACAAAACAAAATTTTAGTTATGGTATTGCTTAAAAATAATAGTAAACTAAAACAATTTTTTTTCATACCGTTTTTGTACTAATTTATTTTCTAATAAATCCCAAAAATTCAAATCTAATATATAATCTAACCCTCTAGAAGGATCAAATTTTTTATATCCATTGACCATTTGATCAAATCTTAATTTGCCTGAATATTTTATAACTAAATGCTCAATACTAGTATTCAAAACATTCTAAAAAAAAAAAAAATATATATTGTTATAAAACTAAATAATTCCTCAACTATTCTACAAAACTAATTGTATAGATACGAATGAAAATATATATAAACAAATTATACTAAAACCTAAAAAATAACAATGACACATTTCTAATTTTATTGAAAATTATATTTTAACTTACTAAATATTAAAAAGTCATGAGATACGTGAAAGAAGTGAAACTCCCATTATTTTGAAATTAAGGTAATCTAATTCATTGATGTTTTACTTAAATTTTACATAACATTTTTCTAGTTTTAGTAAAATTAACAAACTAATGAAAAATAATTTTGAATTAATACTTAAAATGCAAAATAATTATTCAAAGTGTTTTATAGTGAATTTAATTCACTTTACCATGACTACAATTTATTTATCTTTAATAATCAGAATATAATGAAGAAAATATAAAAATAATGTTTGCACTTTTTTTTTCATATAACATACATATATACAGGGAGATTTTTTTATCATAACCCACTCAATTACTTACAGAATAATAATAATTTGAACGTTTTTTTTTTATTATCTTTAGTTACACATTATTTTTGAATTATTAACTATGTAATACTTTTTAAGTTCATCCCTTATGCCTGGTAAGGGTGTCAATTTTGTTTTTTTAAATGGGTACGCATATTTTGAGTTTAATAAAATGTTTGAGTTTTTAATTTAATATTAAATGGCATTTGAATTTTTAGTTTAACTAAAATTTTTAAGACGTTTCTGTCACAAAATGTGTTCCCATTTAAAAAAACAAAGTTGACATCCTTACTAGGCATAAGGGATGAACTTAAAAAGTATTAAATAGTTAATAATTCAAGAATAATGTGTAACTAAAGATAATCAAAATAAAAATGTATAAATTGAATGGGTTATGATAAAAAAATCACCCTATATATATATATATACACACCAATGAATTATTCGAAAAATAAAAACATTAAAAATTTTGTTATTTACTTCTTTTAGTTTAATGTTTCCTCAATTTTTTAATTTTTAGTTTAATTATGTAAATGTATTTGACGTTGATATTTAAATTATGTTAGAACTAATTATTATATAAATTAAATTATTAACTTATCAAAACCCAACTTTTGTAACCAATTTCCGAATGAGTTTGTACAGTTTTACTTTAATGCTAACGCATCTAAAGAAGTTTTACATCAAAAAGAACTATTGTCCTCAATTCTTTACTATTAAATTATCTCTATGAAATTTTTTATTTTTGAGGTAAAAAAATATTAAAACCATATATAATTTAAAAGGTTTATTCTGTTACATAGTAAAATTATTTACATATAAACTCTATAACATATTGTGCATCTATTTCTGTTTTAAATATTAATTATACAGTGACCCAAAAAGTCTTGGCATCTTTAATAACTCTTAATCCAGCAAATATATTGTATTACATTTTTAAAATAATTTTTGCAGTTTTTGATAACTTAAAAAACCAAATATTTTATTTGTTTCAAAAAAAAAAAAAAAAATAATAATAATAAANAAATCCAATTAGTTAAATTATGTACAAGTTATTATAAAAGATTATTATTATTATACACATATAATAATAATAAATATATATATATATATATTTTTTTATAATTTCAAAGTAGTTATTTCTTTTATTACAACTAATATTTTGATGGGTAAATAACAATTTTAGGATAAGAATTTATTGAGCTAATAGCATTTTAATACACAGAGTATGTAGTGTGGACAGTGAGTACTTAATAAATGTCACCAGTAGGAATTGTACCACCTGTTCAACATACTTACTCAATCTATTAAAATTATTATAACCTTATTATTATTTGTTATCAAGTTAAAAAAAAATTACTATTTTGAAATTAAAAAAAAACATTTTTTTTTAGTTTTTTCTTATTTGTGACAAATAATAAAAAATATGATTTTTATTATTCAGTCTTAAGTTGTGAGAAGTAGTAATGAAAAATTATATATAATCATTACATTACATTGATATTAACCATATTTTAAACTAAAGTTTCATAAAAATAAAGTAGTTATTTGAAAAATATTGTAAACATGAAGAGTTTTTTTTATTAAAATACTGATGTTATTCTACAATATAGTTGTTTTGATGTTGCATTAAGATACTTCAATATTAGCTTACTTGTATATCACTATATTCAGCTTTGTTCAACAATCTAACGTTACTGAGTCTAGAGTCCAAATATAAATGTGTTTCGGAGAAATAATCCCATTTTAATACATCAAAACGTGAGATTGGTGTATTTCCAGGTTGACTCCCTACTGGCCATGACACCTTTCCAAAACCTGGAGGTTCTAAAATTGATTCAGTAACAATAGATTTTCTTAATTCTTTAATATTTATATTAGCTTTATCTAAATGCATTTTACAAAAAGCTAAATGGATTTTGTACATATCGTCTGCATTCAACATAGGATAAATAGTCAGTGCTTGTTCAAAACTTCTTTGTTGGTCAGGTTGATCAATTATGCGTTTCAAATCACTTGCTTCCCATAAATGGTAGCTATTTACAACATGGTTCTAAAAAAATGTATGATGTTTGTAATAACTGAATTCATGAACTTAACTTTTCATTTATAGCAGGTTTATAGATAGGGATTTCCAACTTTGTACATGCACTTAAAACTTTTTAAATAATGAAGATTTGAAATGAACCATTTTTTAGTTTTGAGAGATATTAAATTATTTTTTTTAAATAACAAATTATATTTTTAATTTTATTAAACTAAAAAATTTGAAAATAAAAACATAAAAAGTTTGTAAATAAAAATTTTAAATATATACCTCCTACATTTAAAAACTTAACAATATATGATACAAAACATAACAATAAAATATATTATTAAATTAAATAGTTAATGCCTAGTAGTTATTAGCTTTTTACAAGACTTTTGAGTATCAAAATTATCTACTATGGTATTTAAGTCTATTTTGTTCACTAATTATTAGAGTATATACTCTAACCAACACTTCTGTTAGTCTAAAAATATTTTACAATAATTAGTAACATTTTTTTCAGTTATAACTATATATAAAAGAAAAACTTAATTTTTAATATTATCGTTCACCCTTGAGAATTAGCTACCCTTAACAAATTGCCATTTTAAAAGCACTAGCTTTTGTTTTTACTAAGAAATTTGCAGTGCTTTAAACACTGGGTTACAAATTTATTTTTGAAGACATTTTTATTTTTTTGTCCAATACTAATAATTTTATAATAATAACCTGAATTGATGTTTGACAGGGCAAATTTAATGTATGTAGAACACATCGTCCAAAATTGTCATCATCAGAATTTGAATATGCATTTTTTACACACCAATCAACATTAGGTATCAATTTATGAATTACCGAGTTACTTAAGAGAATTCCAGCATCTGCAGGTAGTATAAAAATTATTATAGTTAATTAATAAATAATAGTTTTACAATAAATATTACCTAATGAGCAATAATTAGTACCAATAACAGTTCCACTGGCATAAACATCTTCACTAACACTAACATGCTTTACCAAATCCATTAATTTATCAGCTTTTAAATAAGTATTATCCCTCATCAACATGAAGAAATCATATTCATCCAAATAGTTATCAACAATATATTTAATCATATGAAAAGGCTTTAGAACAGTCCTACTATCAGTAAAACCAACTATACTAGGTATTTTCATACGAGAGACATTGATCTTGTGTTCAGCTGTTGCATCAACAAAAAAAACAATTTTATCAACCCAATGAGTCACAGTTTTGTTAACAGCAACTGCTAATCCATCAACAGTAGTCTGACTAGCCAGGACACCAATAAATAACTTTTCTCGAATCCCTAGTTCAGTTGAATAATATCTTGGTCGTAATAAAGTTTGTGGAGCTTTTTGGGCTCGTTGAGGTTTGCCAGCTAGATTAATACGAGGCTCATATTCATCATTGATAATAGAGATAGAATTACTCTTAAGAATTGACACAGTAAATAAGCAACTTGCTTCAAACAATGGTCCAACAATAAGACTAAAAATTAAACCAATTGTAATACCAAAAATAAGATAAAAATTTTGTCTCATTCGAGCTGAGGAACATAACATTTTGAATCTAAAATATAATAATTACATTAATTTAAATAATAAAATAAATTATTTATCTATTTAAAAAAAATTGATTTACATTGATCATTTATCTGAGGATTTTACAATTAAATTTTTACACGGTTATCAAGAAAATATTTTTTTATAATGATTAATAAAATTTATTTTATAAGATAAAAAATTTAACTCCTAAAGCAACATATTCACATAATATGTTATATAGTAAATTAACTGTTTATTTGTTTGTAGATGGGTGATAATAAATGGAAAAGTAAACGTAAAAAAATAACTAAAATCATTATTTATAAAAATGCTTAGTTTTGCAATGATAAACTTATTAAAAAGACTTATCTTTGAACACTTTTTTCAATAAGATATTAATTTAATCATAAAAAGTAATCAGATATTAAGTTAACAATACGTCATTTGTCAACTAATAAAATAATATTCTTTTATATATTTTAAGACTCTAAAATTTTCAATTAACACATGATACATTTTTGTGATCGCTAGTTCACTCTGCTGGCTTGGTATTAATATATTAATTACATTAAGGCCGTTAATTACATACGAAGTATAAATTATAACCTCATTTATGATTAAAATTTCTAAAAAGAAAAACAAAGTAAATGAATTTTAATTAAATTTTAACAAGAAATGTTTAATATTGTTTTGAATACAAGACAATATTTTCAATAAAACACAACACACAAAAGTAATCAACAAACATTATTGTGTAAATTATTATATTATTGTTATTATTGATGATAGTTAAAGATAAAACAATCAAGCGTTATAAAATAACATGATGAATTTATACTGGCATGGAAGAAAACATAAATTATTGCTGTTAACGCCTTCTGCCTTGTCAACGGCTTGGTTGTTTTGATGATTTTAATGTTTACTAAAATTTGCATTGACGCAACTATATTATTTTTATCATTAAAATAATGAATTGAAATTTACTTTTAATGAGCTTAACTTTTAAATCAATTGAAAACATTGTGGTTAGTACGCTTTCATTATTTTAAATAAACATTTTTATCTCATTGTCATTGACCCCAAAAAAAAAAAAAAATCAGGACGCCAAATGAAATATGGGGTAACTGTTTTAGGTGTTACATTTAAAAATTTACTATAATCATAATAAATTATGATCTACTATGTTCTTTTTTTAGATTTAAAGTATAATTCAAGTATAGCGTTATGATCATAGCGCTAAAAACAAGATGCAGCCTAATAAACTTATGGTTACTGACCTAAATCCACATTTATTGTGTGTTCTGTGTGGTGGTTATTTTATAGATGCTACTACAATAATTGAATGTTTACATTCATGTAAGTAAATTTAGAAAATGGTATCAAATTTTAAATATATTTTTTAAGGAAAAATAAAAATTCAAGGTATTAGATAATTTTATTTTACAAAATTAAGTTATGATCAATAAATGATTTTTTTTTTTAATTTGGTAAATAAGTAATAAATTATAATATTTAATTTTTTATATCTATTTTAGTACTTATATTTAGGCACTAGAATAGATGTTAAACAATATAATATTTTACATTTTACAAAAAATGAATAAGAAATATTTTATAGTGAAAATAGTATAAATGTTAAATATATATTGACAAAGCAAAAATTAATTCATTTTTCATTATGTTTAGAAAAACAATGAACTTTTATCCTTAATATAATTCAATATTAGAATAAATTTCTATTTCTATTATTTTATTTTTCTCTGTAATGTAATATTAATTATAAGTTATAATTAATTATTAATTAATTTTTTTTTATCTAAATGTAATATTAAAGTTGGATTTATGTTTGTACTATTTATTACTTTTTGTTTTAACTACTATAATTATGATTTCAGTTTGTCGTAGCTGTATTGTCAAATACTTGGAAAAAAATAAATATTGTCCCATTTGTGATGTATTAATTCATAAATCTAATCCATTATTTAATATTAGACCTGATCATACATTACAAAATATTGTTTATAAATTAGTCCCTAAATTATTTCAGCGTAAGAAAAAATATTTTTTATGTTCTTTAATATTATTTGATATATATTGTATATAATTATTTTATAGGAGAAATGATTATGAGAAAAGAATTCTATCTTGTTAACAATGTGCATCCTCCTCAAGATCCTCTAAGTCAGGGAATGATTCCTGATGACTATCATTTATTTACTCCAAATGATTCAGTGAGCATTTGTCTTCTTTACGAAAATGAACATAGCAAACAGGTATATAAATGTTACAAGTTTATAAAGAAAATAAAAATAAGTATTAAATTAAATTTATATATAAATGGTAATAGTGTTCATGAATGTGTTAAAGCTTTCATGGATTGTCTTGTTGTTTGAAGTGCTTGAGGATATATCCATGTTTGCAGTTGAGTTCTGACGTTTCGTACTCATTGCAGAGTCCATCTCTGCAATCTCTAGACACCGACTAGTAACCATCACTCTGAAGATGGACTCTGCAATGAGTCCGAAACGTCAAAACTCAACTGCAAACATGGATATATCCTCAAGCACTTCAAGCAAAAAAGTGTTCATTATTTACTTTTTAATCTATTAATTAAAATAAATTGATTCTTGATTTAACTTTACCTAATAATATTTATTAATTTTTAGTAGAAATATAAAATAATTAATTACAATTTTTGACAAATGTAAGGAGAAGTATACTGCAGTGGAAATCAAATAATTATACTTTTAATCATAATTAATTTTGTAAAATGCATCCTCTATTTTTCTTTTACAGAGTTTGCCAATTACTCATAAACGATTTTTATGGTGTCCAGCATCATTGCAAGTTATAAATTTAAAGAAATTTGTGTATCTTAAATTTGAATTAACATCTTTAGATCACTATGTTGAATTTTCCTATCAAAATCATCTACTAGATGATCATCTAACATTGATGGATGTTGTTTATATGTTTGATTGGAAAAGGGTTAGTTTTCTTATAGTATTTAAAACTTTAAATACATTTAGTTGTAATTTACTTTATTTTTTTTGAGTATATAACTAATTAAGTAATATATTTTTAGAAAGATCCACTTTCCATATCATACCGAATTCTTACTATTAAAAGAGAACCATTTGTTGAAGAGAATGTTGTTGAAAAATTATCCAATGACACTAAAGAAGATACTATTAATAACAAAAGTGATATACAGCAAAATAGTACAGTGAGAGGAAAAAATATAGATTTAGAGGAAAATATTGTTGATATAGTATCAAATTCTAAAGAAGAATTTAAAAAAAGTGACACTGTTAACATTTTAAATGTTTCTCAGATAAGGCATACTATCAAACCTAATGTTACTATTGAATTTACTGATTCAAACCAAAATAAAACCATAGATAAAGTAGAATGTGAAGAAAATAAAAAAAAAATTCTTAAAGTTTATCCTGGTTCTAAAATTAAAAAAAATAAACCTAGATTAGATACTATAGTTGAGAAGATAAAAAAACAAAGTACTAAATATAAAACTTTAACATCTCCAACCAAGCATTGGAATCCCAGTATATCTAAGACTTCTGTTTTAGCAAAAAAAAAAGATAATAATGGAGATAAAATAAATCAAAAATTTTTTAAATCCAGAGATGAAAAAAAAAAAAATGAAGGCAAAATTGAAGAAAGTTTGAAAAGATTAGCAGAAGTTCCTCTTATGAAAATAAACCCTCAAACATTATGTCCAATTATGCCTTCATCTCCAGCAAAAAAATCTAAAAAACCTTTACCCAAAAAAAATACATTGGCTCAATCTCTAGCACTATTACCTGTTCGCCCAGCAAACCATAATCCATTTACCAGTCCATTGAATCCTTTCATGTTTAATTCATTTTCTAATAATGATAGTAGAGATTCTAGTAACACTAATAATTTTCTTAAAGCTATGTCTGAGTTGTGTCCTCCGTCATCAGCATATCACAATTCATTACCACCATCAGTTAGTGTTCTTTTCAACCCATTATATGCACATCATAGGCAAAGTCAGCCTAAAAAATCTATTGCAGAGACATCGGATGTTCAAAAGGTTTTAGTTCACAAAACAGATATAAAAAAGGTTGAAAAACACAAAAAAAAAGAAGAAAAAGATAATGATGAATGTACAAATAATAATAAGGGTGAAGAAAAGATGGAAATTGAAAAAACCTAATTTCATTTTAATAATAATTAATTTCAAAAAATGTAGCATTGTGTTAATTTAAAGAATTGAACTTGTTGATTTTTAATTTGTTCATGTATGAGTCTTATGACTTCCTTTAGAATTTTATAGATTTTCACCTCCAATTTTGATGGAAACATGATATCTTTATAATTTTTACTTTAAAATTCTAGTCGTAGATTAAGCTGTATATTTTACTAAACAAAATATGTATTAATGTGCCTTCAGTATTCCATTTTTTTAATCTAAGATCATATTATTGATTCAAGCTCAATTTTAATTAATTTTTTATTTGTATATAAAGAGGAAAGTATAAGATGTATTATGTACTTACCAACTAAAATTACTGGTTTCGAATGAATACATTTCATTTAAATGTTCAATTTTAACTTTTGTTATTCTAGTACCAAACCAGTCAAATTATTGTTATAATTATTAACATCACAATAATCTTTGAGTATTACATACATTTTTTAAGATAAAAGGAGATGTTTTTAACAATATTTTTTTTTATTGTCTGTAAATAATTTGTGTTTAATATCTATGTTAAATTTTATTTTTGAAAAGTATAACTTCAATACCCAGTAAATAAAGGAAAATATTTTTAAATTTTTATCCAAATTTAATGTTTTGTGAAATTATTCAAGTATATATTAAAATTAAATTTTTATATATTTGATTTGTTTTCAGAATTGGATATTTTACAACCAATATAATTTGTTAAAAAGTATTTCTTTTTGCAAGAAAATAACTTTTGTTAGTACACTAGTTATACATTTTAGTGACTGATTTCTTGACTGACATTTATTTTTGCTATCAACTATGTGTAAGATTGTCTTTTATTATTCAAAATGTTGATATATCACACATAGAATTTAAATAAAAACATTTTGTAAATTATTTTATGTTATTAATTAATGTAATGAAAGTGAGTATTCATTTACACATTGTATTTATTATTGTAAGTAATATTTTAATTTTTTGTATTGTTATAAAATTACTGTAATTTTTTAATTGGACATAAATTACTGTGTATTGTTATAAGTGTTAATAATGATAAAAATAAATATTAAATTCTATGAACAAAAATTTAATTTTTATATAAGAACGAAATGTTACAAATTTATCAAATCAAATTTTCGCCACTCTTCTTCTTCCTCGTCTTAATCCCCACTACTTGGGGTCAGCCACCCTTATCCTAAACTTCCACTTGACACGATCTTCCACATCAGATGTCCTCGTATCGCATTTAATAGCATTCCTCCATCTCTTTTTTGGTCTTCCTCTACCTCTTCTTCTTTCAACATTCATTTCTATAACTGTTTTTACAGCTTCCAATTCTTATCTCATAATATGACCATCTAAATCTATTTTCTCTCATCTTATCCACGATTGACGCTACACCTATACTCTCTCTTATATGCTCGTTCCTTATCCTATCTTTTCTAGTCACTCCACTCATCCATTTAAGCATTCTCATTTCTGTTACACTCATTCTTTGCTCTACTTTCTTATTAACTGCCCAACACTCTGAATCATACATTATAGCTGGCTTCACTACAGTCTTTTAGAATTTACCTTTCAACCTCATTGGAATTCTTTTATCGCATAAGACGCCAGACGCTTCTCTCCTCTTCAACCACCCGCACTTAATTCTGTGTCTTACATCCTTGTCAATACCACCACTCTTTTGCACAATTGACCCTAAATACTTAAAACTTTACACCTCTCCAATCACGTCCTCGCCTATTGTCACTATAGATAAATTTTGTTATTTTCAAAGCATGTAGAAAAATTTAGAGTATGGGACACCTCCCATTCAGTGAGTTATTAGTTAGACTAAAATAGAATTTAACACTAACTAACTTTTTTATTTTATCAATTTGAAAAAAATATTCTAAGTGTTCATATTATATTATAAATGGCTATTAAACTAAAGAAAAAAATACTCTAATTAAATATTAAGTGTAAAAAAATTGTAGATTTATGCTAAAATCAATTTCTCTTTAGAGATGTAAACAGAAAAAAAGCAACAAAACTCAATCAAATTATGGTACTGCTAAAAAAAGTGTTTAATGAAAAAGTATATTGAATTAAGAACTTTTTAACTATTCATAAAAAAATATATGTAAAAAACTGCCGAAAAAAAACCTCGTTGACATTGCTTAAAATGTAACTTTTATGTACTATGTTAATATGCGTTTTTTAGTTATTTTTATTGAAATACACTAATAAAAAAATTAGAATCAAATGGGATAAGTGCGTTATTTTACTCTGAATTTTAATAGGTACGACTATTATAACTGGTACTATGAAATTATAATATTTTAACTCACTCTGAACTATTTTAAGTATATGGCAACATTAATATATATATATATATAATATACGGTGGACACACACGAAGAATTTTAATAATAACTACAAAAAATTGTAGTACGCACACCATGAAAAAAAAATATCACTACAACTGGAAATTAACGTTAACTAATAACGATGATGATAGCTAATTTCCGCCTATCGGCATATCGGACTGGTTAGACCGAAGGAGGTGCCTAAATGTCTCAAGTCTTTGAGAGAAGTTAAGGTTAGAATTTACCGAAACCAAAGATAAAAAAGTTATTGAAGAGGCATATAGTCTGTGGCAATTGAGTCTGGATAATGTAATAAACAATAATATATTTAGTAGTGTTAAGTGTATTAGAGAGCTAGATTGACAAGGTGGAGAGTAGAGTGTACTTAATTTGATATTTGCCAATTTGTTTATTGAAGTGTCATTTATGACACAGCTATCAAAAACAAGAGAAACTAAACGCTGTCGCAACACACTGACGGTTTAACCCAATTAAATTAAAATATGCAATTATAATACAAAATAAAATAAAATGGGTACGTTTTTGTTACGTTACAAGATAAGCCTCGATTACATGGCATTGGTTTATGAATGTAATTTGTTTTAAATTTGCTTTTGTTCAATTTATAGGTATGTAGAAATTAAACTGTTTTTCATCAGGGTGGTGGTTTGTGAGGCTTTGTATGTGGTAGTTTGATAATTTTAGATCTTCCTTGGTTTCTGTGTATGGTGTGTATTCTGTTAGAATATTCTTAACTGTATAGTGTTATACAGACAGATGAACATAGTGGAGGTTATTTTTTCATAAGGTGTTAGTAGGTTAGCCATGTATGTATATTATTTAATTAAATTTTATGTATAGGGGATTAGATGGAAAAACCTATCTTCCACTCTTATAAAAATCGTAAGCTATTAAATAAATTTAAATATTAAAACTACAAATTAAAAACTAATATTTCTGACAATTAAAAATTTAGGTGAATTAAAGTGTGTAGTTTAAATAACATGCCAAATAATATTGATCTGAACAATTCTGTGAATATCTTCGTTAAAATGAAAAATCATATATTTTCTTTATTTTTAATATTTTATTAACTATATTTTAGTGTTTTTACTTATTTATATTAACACGTTCACGGTCACGTTAACTACACATTTTTCATGTACAAATTTTAGAAAATTTTTTTTTTTATTACTGTTAATAGTTATGATTTTAGTACTGCTAAACAGTATTTTTTATGTAATGGGTCATTACTGTTATGACATATATAATAATATACAAATAATGTATTACTGCTATTGCACTAACTGATCGTCTACGTGTTAATGTATTGTAACTTTTTTTTGTAATAACTTATATATACGTGTTTTGCATCAAATTTGTGATTTTTAAAGACAACTTTTTTTTTATTATTTAATTTTATTATACATTTTTAGCTAAACATTATAATAATAAAATAAATAAATAAATATAATAATAATATAAATAAATTATAAATTTAAACAAAATAAATAAAATTTATTAGGTTCATTTCAATATTTTTTATGCAAATAAAAGTTTGCAAATTCAAGTTTTTGCACAGTTTTTTTTTTTTTATTAAAAACTAGTATGATTACTACGGTCACTACGGCTCACTAAAAAATTGCACTCATTAAAAAAAAAATTAAAATGACGCCTCTGGTTTCCATAGTTAACCTATTGAGTACTCTGTTAAAAGTTTTAAATACGCTCCTGTCTCTCCATTGGTATTCAGATACCAATGGAAAAGAAAATTCATGTGTTAAGGTTTTGAACATATTATCAAAAAAAAAAGAGACTGATTTTTAATTAATAATTATGAAAAAAATTTTTATAATAGTTTTTGTTAATTTTGTTAACTATCACTGAATAAATTATATTTTGATAAAAATTTTTGAATCTGATAAGTTTTTTCTGTGAAGAATAAACAGCTGTGTACACAACAATTAACTATAGAATAATAATATTACCATATGAATTATAAGCATATGATTTTGAAAGAAAACAATCTATTGTAGGTATATTCATCTCCATTGTTGAGATAATCTTATATAAAATATTATATATTGACATATTGTGTAGTAAGAGCTGTTAAATAATTCGCGTTTCTATTATATATTCATTATTATTTTTATTTTGTTATCGTATAGCAATTAATTAAACATTTAACATTCATTATATAGGAAATATTTAAATTTTCTATATCTCTCAGTCGTGTTCATAGTATTTCAATACTAAGTATTATTAAATTAATCGAAAAGTGGGGGAATTACTGTAATAGAGAGAAAATTAAGTGTGTATGATGGTTACATTGAACATATATATTAGTAGACACCTTTTTGTGTGAAGTTGTTATTAGTTATTTTTGAAAACATATACTATATCAGGTGATTGTAGGATTATGTATTTGAATAAAATATCAAAATTTTACAACCTGCGTAAAATTAAAATTATGGTTTTTTTTACAGTTCACTTCCCTAGATAAATTAAAAGGTCATTTATCTTTTTCATTAAACTTATCAACAATAAATATTAAATATGAGCGATTCAGTACCAATTCCATCATTTATTAAGTTTGTGAATGGTGGAATATCAGCGTATGTATTAAATTATGGAAAAATTATTTTTTTTTATTTTTAATTATTTGTTATTTTCTTATAGAACTGTTGCTACAGTTATTGTTCATCCATTAGATGTCCTGAAAAATCGTATGCAAATGGCGGGACGTGATATTAGTGTAACGGAAAGCCAAAAATCAATGGGATATATTGTACGATCAATGATTAAAGAGAAAGGTGTTTCAGCTTTCTATCCTGGGCTTTCTGCTGGTATATTAAGACAAGCAACTTATTCATCTACTCGATTGGGACTATATAATACTCTATTTACAGTAACTTCTGGGTATTTATAATTGTATAAAATTTGTTCACAAAATCAAAAAATAATACGTTTTTTTTAGAAAAGACAATAAACCACCTGGTTTACCTGTTAAACTTGGTATTGCCATGATATCTGGAGTTGTTGGTGCTGCAATTGGTACTCCTGCTGAAGTAGCTTTAATAAGAATGACATCTGATGCACAGTTACCAATTGCTGATAGACGTGGATATACTAGTGTTTTTAATGCCTTAGCTAGAATTGCACGTGAAGAAGGTATAGCTACTTGGTGGAGAGGATGTATTGCGACCATGGGTCGAGCAGCTGTTGTGAATATGGCACAACTTGCCTCATATTCCCAATCTAAAGAAATGTATTTAAAAACTGGTAGGTTTGTTTTATAATGTTTTATACATTTTTCCTTACAAAAGTTAGATGTTTGAAAGCAAAATACTTATAATATTCTAAATAGTGCTATACTATTTTATGAAAACTACATTTTAACCACTTATTTAATGAACAAAACAATATTAAAATATTAAATTAATAGAAAACATTAAATTGTTTTTAAGCTACCATTCTCATGTTGTGTTGAATCTGAGATGATTAAAAGATAGTATTTAATAAAGTTTGTTGAGTTAGTATAAAAAATGATCCTACTTTTAGGAGTGTCTCCTAAGTTTACAAATGTGTCATTTGTAAACTCTGGACTAGCGTCATTTCTACAATAAATACTTTTTTTGCAATTATAAATAAACAAATTACTACGGTAAGACAACAACAAAAATTTTATTTGATACTGGATATATGTTTACTCGTATTTCAACATATTCTTTCAAAATTTTTTGTAAAACTTTCAAAACTATTGAACTAAATGAACTTTTTAACATTTTTTAAAAATATTATATTTTTCTATGAAAAACATGTTATCTTTGATAACTTGTTTTTTAATATTTTGGTTGTACATCATTTCACAAATATGTGATTAATTTTGATTAAATAATCATTTTGTCTTTTTTTTTTTTTTAAGTTATTATAAAAATAAGTATAGTATGCTTGTAAACGAGTTCAAATATTTAAGTAGATAAATTGTAGTAAAATGATATTTAATAGTAAAATAATTGTTAAGTAATGTTTAATAAGTATAATAATCTCTTTAAAAATATGTTCATGTATAAGTGTAAAAGAACAAATGCATTTTACCACTCCATCAAATTCTCTCAAAAAAATTTTTTTAACATGTTTTTCATTGCTTTTATCAAAAAGTTGGATAGTAAGTAAGAATAGTTGGAAAACTAAAAATGTTTCTTAAGTTTTTTTTTCATGATAACTATGTAAAATCATAATGTCATATTTATGATGTAATTCTTTTCTCTCAAAGAATTCCAAACCCAAAAATAATCTTAAAAAAATATTTTTTTCTACAAAATTTTGTTTTTGAAAAAAATTATGTAATTACAAAAAAAAAAAAATAGTTTTTTTTGCAGAATTTATAAACCATGGTGATATAATAAATAAGTAATAACAAGATACATGATTAATTTAAATTTAAGGTAATAAGATTTTATAATAAGGTACACTTTTGTAATATTATAGTATGCAAAAAAAAAAAAAACCCCAAGAATAGGTATTTAAGTACTAATTTATTACTACAGAAAAATATAATAAAAAAGTGCAAAAGTTTTATGATTGAACCTAATATTACACAGGTATATGTTACTGATTCAGCAATAATTTTAGATGTGTTATGCGAATAAAAACTATAAACTTAAGTAATTATACTTTTTATTGAATTAAATTATTAAAAATCGGTGACTTCATCATCGATGATTACTCTTACAAGTGGTTTAATGAAAATTATTGAAAACAATAGCCACACATCACAAAAATCAAGCACGACAGTAGAAAACTTTTAAGTTCATAATTTTGAAACTATGCTTTGAGAACAAAAATATTTATACATTTTTAATCAGAACAGAAAACTAGATCAATTAAAAAAAAAATTGTTTGAAAAATTTTGTTGGGATGATAAAATGTATTTGTCAACATTTTTTTATGAATCACAATTAATCAGTTAATATTTTGTAGGTTATTTTGAGGATAATATTGTCTTGCACTTTGCATCATCAATGACATCTGGTGCTATAACAACTATTGCATCTCTTCCAGTTGATATAGCAAAAACTAGGTATAAGAGAAATTCTGTTATTGTTATTTTCAAATTAACTGAAAACATTTTTTTTTTTTAATTAGAATACAAAGTATGAAAATTATCAATGGTGTACCAGAATATTCTGGCACAGTAAATGCAATGGTTAAAGTGGTGAAAAATGAAGGATTTTTCAATTTATGGAAAGGAATTGTTCCATATTTTGCTCGAATTGGTCCACACACAGTTTTGACTTTTATTTTTTTGGAGCAAATTAATCAAGCCTATAAAATAGTAGCATTTCAAAATAGTTCTAAGAATTAGTTTTAATAATAAAAACAACTTGTATGCTTTTTTAATTATAACATCTTTTATTCCTTTTTTAACATTCTCTTAAAACATTTATATATTTATTAAAATTTAGATGTAAAATTTATTTATTATTATTTTATAATGTTGTTGATTGTAATTATTGTTGAGATGTTATTTTGTTTTATTGATTATTTTATTTTATGGTACTCGAAAGATTCCAGTAATACCATGTATAAAGACTGTAATAAGAAATTAAAATAAATACAAGAAATGGATAATAAGATTATATAAAGGAGGTAATAATTAAATAATATTTACCTTATTCTTCTTAAATTACCGCAACAATTTTTTCCAAATGTCTGACAGCATCTTTTAGTTTATTAACAAATTCTTGTAGCTGTTGTAAATTACACACAAAATTTACATGGTTTATTTTACCATTATTTATAGTCTTCAATTTCAATCGGTATAATAATTCTGATACATCATCAAAGACACTAGTCTGCAAAGAATAAAAATTTAAATATATTTAATGTTATATACTAATAGATAAGTCCAGAGTTGAACCTTTTTTAAAACTAACTTATTACACTTATTATAACTTACAATAAAATGTTTAAAATGTAAGGAAACAGGTTAATTTTTATGAGCAATAGAAACATTTTTCTTAGCTCATTCAATACTCTATATGATATTAGATTATAAAGCCAAATTTAATTGATATTAGATAGGTTTGGGTCTAATACGGCATTGCGCCCTTAGGTGGGCACTCACTCGTGTGTCTCTATAATATCAGCTGTTCTCCTATTAATATGACAATCGGTGGTCATTGTACATGTGTCTTGCCCATAACCCTGCGACTACATGGCCACCGAATGCGTGTTGCTGATTATGTTATTTTGTCGCGATAATTAACCAAATTGTTGTATTTTTCCTGACTTAACTTAGTACCTTAAACAACTCTACATCCTAGTATATTATTTTGTTATGTGTTACAAAGATCTATATTGTAATGAGAAATATAATTGTTAAATAATAAATCTTTGCTTTATTTTAATAAACAGGTGACCTGTTCTTACTAAAACAAACAATGGTGCTGATTACTTTATATTTTAATTATTTTCTTTTGTCGTATGCATCTACAATCACTCTGTTGCACCATTTGGATACGCATTAGGGCTTAATTAGGAGATATTAAGGGACTCAATTTTTTATTTAATCACTGCTATTAAGTGTCAATGATTTATTCAAAATTGTTGTAATAGTGTAGAACTCTCAAACTGGTAATAGTCCCTGTTTTTTTTTATATTTTAAGTCGAAGATAAACTTACCTATAAATGTAATTTTAAAAAAATGAGCAATTAGGCCTTCTAATTTCATTAGGGTACATATTTTTTTAAATATCAAATTATTATTCTATTATAATTGGTTAAAAAAGTTTACACACAGTTATAACTGTCCCATTTTCTTTTATTCTTAATGTAATACATACATCATATGGTTTGTGAAGACAATACGAACAGGGTGCTGCATAATCTATCTAAATATTAAAATAGTCATTTGTTTTTTAGTATAATTTACCTTAGAATAATAAAACAATTATTCTTTATGAAAAGTAAAAAAAATTATAATCTGTCAAGATACAATCTGAGTTTTTTTGATAAGTGCATATTTATTTTACTGTCTATGCCAAAATAATAATATTTTTAACTCTAGAGACAAATTGAAAATTTTTTGTCAAATCATGATTGTATATTTTTATTAGTTTATAAATTAGTAAAAACATGTCACATTAGCTATTGGATCTATGATTTATGGGTATATTTTGGTTTAACAATCAATTTTGTTTGGTTCAACATTAAGTAATGATCATAGAACTATATTATTCCTACCAGTCTCAACGTTAAGTAGCTTAATAAGTTTTTCTAAGCAACTTAACAATGTCTGTGTAGCCTTAACATTTACAAGGTTCAATAATTTAGTTATTAAATGTAATAAACAAAAATATAATTAATATTGACTGGTGTGGGTATCAAAAACATTATTTTAGTTAAAAAATTAAGAATAAGTTGTAGAGACAATTTTTTTGTATTTAATAAAAATTTATTACATAGTAAATTTGGAAGTAATAAGAGATAGTCATAGGGATATTTAGTAATTCATATGAAAGAGGGACATAAATACCTTTTTTTACTCATTTAGAACTAATTATGAGCAAAAATTATCCTATTTATATATTTAAATAAATAATGTGCCCAATGATTTCTTTAGATACACCATTTATTATAGTATAGGATTTATATACTGAATATCTTATATATATAAAAAGTATTTTACTTAATGATATTTTACTAAGAATTCATAAAATAAAATTTTTTTAAATTGATTTCTCAAAATTTATAGTAAAAAATATTTTCATACTTGGATACAATATTCAAGTTGACATTCAATGTCTACAACACTAATCAAAGATGTATTAGTGATAACACAAGCTTTAACAAGATTGGGTCTAATATACTCATATGTTTTCACAATATTTGATGTACGGCTTGTATCAATTAACACCAGAGGTTCAATGTAATGGTTTAAAGATGATGCATCTAAATTATGTTGACCAGCAATTATTAACATAGAAACTAAAGAAGCATATGCTTCTTTAATAATGTCTTGTTTAGAAGTAGCAATGATGTCCAAATCTATAAAAGAGTAATTTTATAAATACATCAATATAACTTAATATGATAATAATTTTTCAAACTTTCAGTAACTTTAAACCAAAGAAGCTATTAATTAATTAAAATTAAAGTTTTTTTAAAAATAGAGTGAATATTACAACTATCTATTTTATAAAAAAAATTTTTATCATTAGTTATTTTTGTGTATATTAAAACTAATGTTATCAAAGAATTGTGAGTTGAGATATAATATAAGACAATAAAGATTTAATCAAAAAGATACTTGCCCCTTGGGTTATTTTATAATTAAACTGATCAATATAACTTATATTATAAAATATTAAACTATTGGTTAGAATATAATTTTTCCAATATTAGAGTTATTTTAATTAAATTAAAGTTTATTAAATTTATAATTATTCTAATCAAAAAATATTTGAAATTATAATAGATACATTGTTGTACAGAAACGCAATACAGTTTTTTTAATTTTGAATTGAAGAGAAATTGTAGTTTTCCATTGTGTAATAGAATAATAGAATACCTAATAACATTATATTTCTATTAGTACAACTTTAAAAGTAATTAGTTTGTCAAAATTATACTTCTACAGTTTAGGAAGTTTCACTCATGTTTAAATATATTATTGAAGTAATATTATTATGCTCTTAATTATAATATTAATCACCATCTTTTACAAGTTTCATAGATGTTGAATCTAATACAGAATTCAGCACTACTTCAGCCTTCTTTAGTAAACTTAGAAAACAATCATTATTCACAAGCGCTGGATTGCATAGTCGTTTCAAACCTAACTGCAATTCTGTTGATAGTTCCATTATACTAATAAATTATTTCCAGTTTCTTTGAATTAATTATATTCTTATTAAAGTTATTACAATCGTTTGGGTGATATTTCTGATAATTATTATTAACTACAATTCGCTTTTATCATAATTTTGTTCTTGGAAGAAATGCGCACTCTTCCAGTCATCAATTTCAAACGGTATTACTGTATTTTTCAAACCGTTACTATTTCAGCATTTTCACTAATCTTTTGATAGGGTTTAAGAATTTTTATAAAACTATGCTATATATTTTTAGCGGGTTGAAGCATTGAAAGCTTTATTCAGGCTTGGGTAAGTTGGTTTGTACATTATAATGTAAAGGAGTTGCTACTTAGATTTTTGTCTAATTATATTTTTGAATGCCCCTGAAAAATATGTGTTATAATCTTGTCTCGCGACTTGTAGCATTTAAAATCACAAAACACAACAATAAAAAAATATTAAATATATCAAACATTTTTTTATTTCTTAAGTTTTATTTAAAATTTTGAAAACTTTTAAATATATAATAAATTATATTACAATAAATTACATAAAAAACATAAATATATTATTAGAAATATTAACTCTAAGTCTAAAAACTAAAACTAACTTTCACAAAAAAGGAGTTAATCATTGATTTTTAGGAATTTTAATATATTTAGTTAATGGATTTTCTGAAAATTAAAATATAAACAATATAACATATTTGTAATATTATTACAAGTAGTCGAGGCCGACCCTAAGTAATTGGGATTAAGGCGAGTAAAAAGAAGAAGATTACAAGTAGTCGAGGAAAAATTTATTTTATCAATAAAAAAATTAAATTTATTTCCTAAACATATTTTATTGTAATTGTTGCATTGAATAGCCTGCTTATTTAGGTTTACAAAACGAAAACTATGTATTGATTGGACGTGATCCGATTATAGATTCGTGTATTGACGTAATAAGGTTTTTTTCTGATAGATACACATAAAAAATACCTCCACAGCCTCTAGACTTACGAGGGACTATAGGGCTCTCCTTAAGAACGGCCCTAACTTCCTTCTATACTTTTTTTGTCTATCAAACAATAATATTTCCTAAGAGCATAGGCACAGATAGAGAGGACTAGACCATAAATGTTGGAAAATTATATATCCTCTCGCATTAAAATAAAAAAAATGTTTGTGATAATATAAGTAGCAACATTAAAAATTTTATTTAAATTTTAGCTATAGCTAGAAGAATAAATAATTGATCGAGTATACAATTATTTTATTTAACAATAAATCATATGGTAGATTTAACTAAAATAATCGTTGGATATTTATTAATAATAACTATTTAGAGGGTAGTTGGAGGTGCAATATTTCCCTGAAAATTCAATGGGGTAAATCTCAATATTAAAGAGCAAATATTGTCAACAAACGGTCGATCGTAAATAATTTTTTTTCTAATATTAGTAGTTTTGATATATATGATATTTTGTGTTTTAAGATTATCATCATAAGTATGTTTAATAAAAGCTTATGGTGATGGAGAAAAAAATGTTGACTTTTTTTGCTCATCAATATTTTTTAAATGGTGGTTCTGAAAAATTTAGGGGTGCCAAAATTCATATAGCTACCTTATGCCAAAATTATACATTTGGCTTGGAACTCAGTTTGGTGGTAATTTTTAGGTGCGTATGTAATAAGAAAACTACTAATATTTATTTAAAGATTGTACATATTTTATAATGTGGTTTGAACTCTGATCAAATTTTGTAAAAGGTTTGGTTTTGTAAAATTAAATATTTATTAAATATTTTAAAACTCCCGCCGTTAAAATATATATTTATGCATTTAAAAGTATCAAAAGTGGGCGGCTTCCCGCGCATTTTGTGACACCTGCTGTCTGCGCACAAGACGCAATTCTATTATCAATTGTATGTACATTATCAGTTATCTACAATTTTTAATATGACTCTCATCACGTTAATTTGCTGTTGAATTTCGGTTGTTACATTTAATGAATTTTTTGTCGTATAATTTAGTGATACTGTTAAGAATTAAATTAATTATTTTGTTTATAACATTTATTTAACGTTATTAATTTTTTTCATGTTTTGTTATTATTACTGTAACTATAAATCGAAAGGCAAATTGTATGCATAACCGTTTTTCATATTATTTTCTATCCGCGTGTTCATTTACGAAGTGGGTAAACGTGCTTAGTGGTCAACTTCGACGATTTCACGTAAGTTAATAATAATTTTTAATTCATTTAAATTAGTTTTTTATGAAAACACACTCTAAATATATTTAAAAATAATTTTTAAGTTGCTAAAACTTATGACTGTATTACCAGTACTGGGTGCTTTAAACTTATATTATTCTATGTATAAAGTTTAATTATTTATTTTTACTAGTATTAGTTTATAAGAGTAAATAATATTAATAGTAGTTGGTGTAAATAAATATGTATACATTTTGAGGTTCTATAAAATTTTTTTTTTTGTAATATAAGTATTATTAATTTTTTAATTTAAACAAGTTACTATTGAATTTTTAATCAATAAAAACAGAAAAAGAATGTATTTACATTTTATTTTAAATTGAAATTAAAAAAAAAAAAAAAATAGAAATATCGAAGTACTGAAAAATTATAGTATAAAAATTAGGAGCACAGGTCGTGTATTGTACTCTTTTACCTAGTAATTGTTATTAGATATTGAATTTAGCTTTGAAGTAAACCTGTAAGGTATTGATTTTATTTTTTTGTCTGGCTATAAATATACTCAGATCTCCCTCAATTTATTTTGACAATCTATACTTCAAAAAACCTGAATTGAATTTAGTTGAAATTATTAGGTACACAATTTGAAAAAAACTGCTCTAAATTTTATAAATTTAGAAAAATATTTCAAAATAAAGTAACCACAAATAAAAGAATGTATAGAACATATTATATTTTAAAAATGATATAACTATTTTTAAATTATCAGATCTTAATAAAATTAGTATTGAAAATATTAGACAATAAATATTTTTTTTTTATGTAATTAAGTTAAAAATCAATGTACATGTTTTAAGGCTTCTTTGAATATTCTTTAGTTTATTTTATAAATAAAAATTAGGCAAGCAATAAATTTTATATGAGTGCTTTTAAAAAAATAGTGGCATATAAATTAAAGTATTTATGTTAATATAGTAAAATCAAATATATTTTAAAGAAGCAGCTCTATTTCATGGTTAGATATTTGTATTAATATAAACATAAACATTAGGGCAACACTTAGCTAACTTAATTATAATAATTTGAAATAATATAAATTGTTAAAAAATTAATAAAAGCTATGCTTTGAGTGATACAACATTATAACATAAAATACGAAAATCTTTAATAAAGTAAAATTTTATTAACCGAATTAATTAATTAAATAAATAATATTGTTAAAAAGATAAAAATGATATATAGAAATAAATAGATATATATACAAAATGATGTAGAGTCCGTTAAAAATTGAAAAAGGATATTAAAAAATTAAGTAAAGTTAATCATTTTGAAAAATACCAATTTTAAATTAATAATATTTGTTACATGTACATTCTTTATATAATTATACAAGTTATTAGTTAAAAATATATTGATACACAAAATGAAAATGCATAATACAATTATTTAGAGTCTTAAAAATTCAAGTAAGAAATTATTTTAATAATGTGTTTGAACATTTAGTAAACTTTTATAATTATTGACTTTTACTTCATTGTAAATATATAATTCTTCTAAAACATAGTTTTTGAAATAAAATAAAACTTGGATATATGACATGATGAAATAGATATTTATGTTAACAAGTTATATATATATATGTATTATGTGATGATGTCAAAAGTCAATACTTATAGTTATATACTGAAGGCAAAGCTTTTATTAATTTTTGTACAATTTATAGTAACTATATTTGTAATATATTATTTCAAATGAAAAAAAGTATTATGTTATTAAAATAATTACTATTATATGCAATATTTATAGTATATAACTCATATAATTATTTATAGAATGTAAATGTAACAAATATTATAATTTTAAAATTGGAATTTTTCAAAATGTTTAGCTTTATTTAAAAAAAAAAAACAAATTAATTAAATGATGAGTAAGTTATATATAATATAAGTATATAGGTAATTATGGTTGATACACAACTTATATTTTAATAGCTGATTGCAAATTTGATATCAAGATGAACAAAAAGATTAATTTTTTGTAAACATTGAATACTAAATTACACTTAAATCAACTAGTAGTTATTTATGCAAAAATTTCCAGAAAAGTATAGAAATATATTAATAAAACTTAAAAGGATAAAAGGATAAATTGTATTTAACTAAGTTTCATATAGTTGGGGCTCTGCCCTCAACTGGGGTCTTCCAGCTGTCTTTACGTATATATCACAGATTGTGGTAAGAGTACATAGCTGTGCCAGATTCTATAAGATTTTTATACAGAGAATTACTTCACAATTAGTATAATAGAAATGTAGCAAACATTTAATTGTTAAAATGAGTAAAATTTAAAAAGAGTCAATAGTTAAATATAATAAGTATAAGGTTGACATTTGGTGCAAATTTCATTACAATAATAATAAAATTGTGTTATGAATTTATATAGGCTATTATGTGTTACTATAACATAGTATTTTATATTTATGTCAAACTCCAATGAACTAATTATACTCTAAATTTTGAGACTAAATATACTTATTATTATTAAAAAAACGTATTTTATAATAAAATATTTTAATTTTTTGATACGACTACAAAAAATAAAAGTGTATTTAAAAATATATTTAAAATTAAAAACTATTTTAAAAATATTATTAATTTAAAATTAAAAAATATTTAACCTAAAAAGCCACAAAAAATTGCGATATTTCAGGAACAATGTTACCATCATTAACGCTAAAGATAAAAAATATTTTCAAAAATATACTTAATAATAACCAAATAATTATTATTTAGCACAATGGGTATGTAAAAAAAAAATTACAATTGGTAAATACATTTTTTTTTATTGCTTTTTACAGCCCATTGAAGGTGATTTCGGT